AGGTTGAGGACGTCAGAGAGTTAAAGAGTCTTGAACGTGTCCAGATGCCACTTGTACCAGGCTGCGTCTGTCTTGGAGGAACTTGCCTACGATGGACGAGAAATCGGTTCTCGCCGCACCGACTAGAACGGACACGCTAACCCCAATTACCACACCAGCCACACAAGACGCAACGGATGCGCCAGACACACAAGCTTCCTAGTCTACTTTTCATACTAACCACCACAATCACATAAGCAACATCGGCCACACCAGCCACACTGATGACTACATACTGCATACCCTTCATACCGGCCACACCTCCCATACGTGGAATGGCAGTCACATCAGACATACAATTGACATTCGTCACACTAGCCACATCAGTCACACGAGCCATACGAGGTACACAAGCCACACCTGCCATTTACTCACAACAACAGCAATAACTGCACCAGCCACATGAACTACATCAGCCACAACAGTTGCACTAAACACACAAGCCTTATCATTCATACTATCCTCCATTACCACATCAGAAGCATCAGCCACACAAGCCGGACTGCAGTATGATCCATACTATCCAGGTCATATCAATCACACCATTCCCATCCTTCACACTTGTTACTTCATACATATCAGCTACACAAGCTAAATCCATCATACCGGCTACACCTATCGGACAAGTCATACGAGCGGGATGAACCGCGTAAATCACACTGGCCCCACTTGCCCTACCAGACACACAAGACACAGACATACAGGAACACCAGACACACTAGTCACACAGACATACTGGACAAGCCAGCTACACAGACGCCCTGACACACAGATACACAAATACACTAAACACACAAACATAGCTGAAACATCAGAGACCTCCGGCACACACACACCAGACTCACAAACATACCTGAAATACCAGACAGACCACCTTCAACGAGACGATCCTGTGCAGCGGCTCCTGGTGGAGGAGCCTTGCAGCCGGAGCCAGCACTTCCGGCAAGACAGACCATCCCTTCCGGACTTTTGACTTGGCGAGGGAAGGCACTGAAACTTGCCGAAGCGAATTCTCGCGAAGGTCCGGAAGGTCGAGTCGTCGAAGACGCGCTGGACAGACGCCAA